CACACACACTCACACTCACACTGTGACGTCAGCAGTGTAACAGTGTTGGCAGAACTCTGTGTGGCCTCTTTATTCTGCAGCCTTGAAGAACCCTGTTGTGGTGGCGCAGCGAGGCGGTCTCAGCACCATTCTGAAGAGCGTGACCGACTGTCAGCTGAGTCGCATCAATGAAGCTCTCATCACCACCATCCTGCACCTCCTCAACCACCCTCACACCAGGCAGTACGTCCGCTCTGACGTTGAACTGGAGGTACTGACACATATCCAACCGGAAAGTGTTTCTTATACAATAACTCTTAAAGAGCGTATGATGTTATTTATAAAATCTGTCTCTCTTAGCAAATCCTAGCCCCATACACAGACTTCCACTACAGGCACAGTCCTGACATAGCAGAGGGGCAGCTCAAGTGAGTTCCACAAAGTCTGTTGAAGCATGTAACATAGACCTTGTAGGATTGTTCTCTTATTGTTAAATATTTGTATTTCTTTGTCTTCAGGGAGGATAGGGAGGCTCGATTCATGGCTACTAAAATGTCTATAGTTGCCTCATTTCGCTCCTGGTCAGGTAGGTGGTGTAATTTACAGTCATTTTCGTTAAGCCAAATTTGTACATTGTTTTGATCTCTGAATGTCTCCTTAAAGGAACACTTATCAGATATCAGCATTCTCTCCATTATAATGGGCCATGAGCTGTTCCATTTGGTTCCATTATAGGAAGGCATATCTATGGCCGATATCTCTAAAACTCACAACTCAAGCAACTCACACCAAAACAGTCTGGATGGATAAAAAGCTATACAAAAAAAAAATGTGTTTTTGATTTTGGGATTAACTGTGACTGTCCTGTAAATCACACTCAGTGTTTAGAGAACACTTACTGTGTCTCTCTGGCTAACTCCACTCTTTGCCCCATTCACCTTGCAGGCATCATTAACCTCTGCAAGTCAGGCAACTCTGGCATCCAGTCTCTTATTGGCTTACTCTGTATACCAAATATGGAAGTGCGGGTAGGTAATCAGCATAATGTAACAGTCACATTGTGTTTGCTTTGTGAGAGGACACAACCTTCACCCACCAGCTAAAGGCTTGGTGCCCACCAGCATTGCTTTGTGTCACCACACTAGTTCAGCTTATTCTGGCTCTTTTTGGGTTATCTGTTAGACTGAGAATAACATTAGTGATCATATAAAGCTAGCTCTTATTTATTTATATCATCAGATCCATGAATAAAGTCCTTAGTATGAAATGAGATCAGTAATGTTGGGAATTCTTTTTAAATGCATTTGGTATTTGCAACATTCTCAGTATATTATATAGTATATAGTATATAGTATAGTTTTGTTTCATGATGAGTAAGCTATTTAGAAGTTTTGAAGTATTTTGAAGTCTGTTTGTGCTCTCTCTCTAAAGCTGACTGAAATGTTGCATTTATAATTATGAGCTTAACATGAAATATGAGCTTTTAGAAGGAAGAAAAGTAATGACAGTATTTAAGGCAGCAGTTGCTGCTCGGGCCCTAAAAACTACTACAGATCCACAAGGAACATTGGAAAGAGATTTGGTGTAAACCAAAGCTCAGAAACTATGTTCAAATCAAGGAAGATTACTACACAGAACTGTATATAATATTTAATTTAAGGAGAGGGCAGAGGCCCCTGTCCGACTAGCAGGTAAGGTAGGAAGATACAAAGGTATCCCTGAAAAGCAGTGTTTATGTGTTCTCTGTGATCTTGGTTTTTGAGGATGAATTTTATTGTCTGTTTCACTGGCCCGTGTTAAGGAACTGTTTAAAAAAATCCAGTTGAAGAACCTTGATTTGTTTTGGCTGTCTGAAGGTCAAATGTTGAGTGTGCTCTTTAAGTTGTTGTTTGTTCTAGCAAGATTTATAAAAAATGCATGAGAGCACTGTATCCAATAGTGATAGACCAATTAGACCCCCCCTTGTAAGTTTTGGGAAAGTGGTGAAAGGGTTGGTTTTTCTTTGTTTTGATATCAGCATTATATATTGGCCATCAGCAGCCCTGTTCTCTACATATTGGCATCGGCCATGGAAAAACCCACATTGGTTGAGTATAGTATCCAACATTATAAGACATTTTAGTCATGGAAATTTAATCTTATGAATTTTTTTATCTTCTGAATTTGTGGAACTATATATCATGATTTGTCATGTGGCCACCTTGGCTCATGTTGCTTTAATGTTAGTGCTTTAAGCCCATATGAGTTGGACACCACAGAATGGTGCACAACAAATCAAACCAAGCTGAAAGAGCGAATAAATATTTCAATAAAACCAGACACTGTCATGTTGACTGAAATCTTGCCTTTCCCCCACAGAAAGGTTTGTTGGAGGTGTTGTATGACATCTTCCAGCTTGTCATACCTGTAGCCACTGCAGACTTCAATGAAGCACTTATTAGTGTAGGTGGGTATAGTGACATCACTTTCATTAATTCCTGTTTTGGGGATTTGTCTGTTGTCGTATCAGAAGCTATATTGAAACTATTCACTGTTTAGACCCCAGTAGGTTTCAGGACAGCTGGAGGTTGTCTGATGGATTTGTGGCTTCCGAGGCAAAAACAATTCTCCCACATCGATCATGTTCAAGGTAAATACTTCACTAATATTATCTCATTATGGGTGCTGAAAGATGATATTTTATCGACAATTAAAGTGGAATTTTTGTTTTGTTCCAGGCCGGACTTGATGGACAACTACCTGGCTCTCGTGCTTTCTGCCTTCATCAAAAGTGGTCTACTAGAGGTACAATCGTTTACCACACAGACTTTATTTGTGGTTTTAGCCCCCTGTCGGCGTTGGTATCACACTGTATCTGACCTCCACAGGGTCTGGTCGAGGTGATCACGAGCAGCGATGATGCCCTATCTATACGGGCTACCATCTTGGTGGGAGAACTTCTCCATATGGTAACCTGTGCTCCCATTCGCTGATCAGAACAGAAGATTCCTCGGATTACTTTTTTGTGTAACTCTGATTTTCCTTTTACAGGCCAACACCATCCTCCCTCACAGCCACAGCCACCACCTGCACTGCTTACCCACCCTCATGAATATGGCTGCTTCCTTTGATATCGCTTCTGAGAAGAGACTGTGAGTATCTGCCCCCAGGCGTGATACAGATGGGACAGGTTTAGTTAAGAGGATGTCCCACCCCTTTTTGCACTGTGCCCCAATAACAGTTGAGCAAGCTTCGGTCAACTTCTTCCTTTCTTGTACTTAGATATGCTATGTGCTAGGCTAATCTATGTTGAAAACACAACCACATTTGAAAGATAGTTAAAAGATAAAAGTGACATATAGTCACGTCTTAATTTAGTTAATGTTGGGACATTAAATGCTAGCTAACTAACTAGCAAATCGTCATCAGTCATTATCTAGCTAATCTACATTAATTGTGAGCTAGTTAGTTATATCTGATAGCTAAAGTTAGCAAAACGCTAGCTAGTTAGCTAGTGTTTCTACTTCAAAACCATCTTCAGTGTGGTTGTCTTTTCAACATAGACAAGCACATAGCTTATCTAAGTACAAGAAAGGAAAGTTGAGATTGAGAAAGACACAGCAAAAAGGGGTGGCACAAAGTGTTACATTAAACAATTATCAAGAGAATTGGCACTGAAATGGTTGCTTTTTGCAGACGAGCAAGTGCTTCGGTCAACTACCTGAAGTGTTTTCATGAGAAGAAGAAGCGAGGAGCCAAACCTTACAGTCTCTACTTGGACCACATCCTCCGCACATCAGGGGGGTCACACTATTGTCGAGAGCAGCACTTTAGACCTCAGAGAGACATTTTCATTGTTAAGGTACACACAAAATCACATACTGCTGCAGTGTTTCATTACTTTTACAGTTAAGAAATGGTATCTTACGACTGGCAGTTAAGGTAGGAAGATACAAAGGTATCCCTTAAGAGCAGCGTTTATGTGTTCTCATTTTTAGATGTTTCACTGCTTTAATTATTATTAGGTATTAAATTATTACATTACACAAAACACTACCAAATACAGAAAATACAACTGTCAATTCTTGCATGCTGTATAGCGTTAGTTACGTAAGTGTAAGCAAAGGCAGCTGTGTTTGTCCTGCAGGAAACTGAGGATGCTCTGGTGACCAACATGAGAGACAGCCACATCTTTAACCACAAGGAGAACCTGGACTGGAACTGGTGTCTTATTGGAACCATTTTAAAGGTCTAAATGATTTCTTCTTTCATCTTGTAGTGCATTTTTGCCTTTGTAGGCTAGGGTGGATGATCATTTCCTACTGTTGCAGTTGTTCAGCTGGTATTGCTGTGGAATGTAAGATGCTTTTATTGATCTCATCCTCTAATTTGTGTTTTATTCTTGTCTTTAGTGGCCAAATGTTAGTTTGCGTAGCAATAGGGATGAACAAATGCACAAGTAAGTATATATCTGCCCCCACACGTTTTCTTAGCTCTCACTGGATTTTTAGCATACTGACAAACAGCCTGTCACCCACCTTGTTAATATGCTTGTGTGGGTTGTTTTTTTTCCTGTACAGGTTTGTGCGAAGGCTGCTTTTCTTCTACAAGCCCAGCAGTAAGCTGTATGGCAGCCTGGAGCTGGAGCATCCCAAGGCCAGACAGCTCACTGTTGTTGGCTGTCAGTTTGTAGAGTTCCTCCTGGCGTCTGAAGAGGTGAGGGGAAACAGCCCTCTGTAACTATCAGCACTAACTAACTAAGAAAATCTAACAGAGAAAGTGTGAAACAATATTGCATAATTCCTCTACACTCACCTGAAGATGAACAGTGTTCCCCAGCAGTCATGGGGGAGGTTTGAGTAAATGAACCTGCCCCCCTGTTACCCCCATCTCCTAATCTACTTTGTCTTTGTGTGTTAGGAAGGCCAGGCGTACCTGGAAGACCTGGTAAGGGACATTGTCCAGTGTCTATTCTCCTCTGCCGGGCTCAAACCTGACCGCAGTCTGCAGGGCAGTGGGCTGCTAACCACCCTCAGCCAGCATTACTTCCTCTTCCTGGGCGCCCTGTCAGCCCACCCACATGGTGTCAAGATGCTGGAGAAGTGCAGCGTCTTCCAGTGGTGAGCAGCTACTGTAAAGCTCATTTTATAATATGTGTCCTCACAGATTTTAAGCAGCATGCAGTGTAATAACCTTAAAAAAGTAGTATACCCCTGAGGCCTTCCACCAGCAGGTTTACTTATTCTGTGAAATATTTCAACATCAAACTAGATGGAATGGCACAAATTTTGGTACATGGTTCCCAGTCAGTAGTAACATTCTATTGGCAGAAATATAATATGATATTCATGACACCTGTAAGTGGGTGGGATATATTAGGTAGCAAGTGAACATTTTGTTGATTTTTTTAAAAAAGTTAAAAGGATTTCGAGTGACTTTGACAAGGGCCAAACTGTGATGGCTAGAAGACTGGGTCAGGTCTCCAAAACTGCAGCTCTTGTGGGGTGTTCCTGGTCTGCAGTGGTCAGTACCTATCAAAAGTGGTCTAAGGAAGGAAAAGAACCGGAGACAGTTTGTTTGGCAAGGGGCTGCAGAACATTGTGACCACCAGGGTGATCAGTGTATGTCCACTTAGGATAACTTGTAATTACTTTTGGTTATCTCTGCACGTTAGCATAGCAGCAACAGCTTCAGTCCTTGAGTGTAAGTCACTGGCATTTTGCCAGCACTCAGAAACCAATACACAATCACTGTAGTTTTGGTAGTAAAACATGAGGAGAATGTGGAACTGAAGCATAAAAACGCGATTCGGGTCATGGTTATGTCATGCTTTTCTTGCGTTGCATTCCAGCACTAGCGTAAATGGTAAATGGACTGTACTTATATAGCGCCTTTCTAGTCTTTCGACCACTCAATGTGCTGTACACTACATG